GGAAGGGTGAATATAGAGGATGAGCTGTAGGGTGAGGAGACAGAATTCTGTTTCAGTCATGTTTATGTTGAGGTGACTGTTAAATGTCCATGGTGAGACTTCATTGTAGGCAAGTAGGTGTGTAAGCTTCTGTGTTCCTCTGGAGACTGAATGCCTTTACTCGAGATAGTGCTCACCTTTAGTAGATTGTACTTAAAATGTCTGCTGTTCTATACCAATAAAACTATCCAACAGTTACACATTATGAACTAAACCCACCAATTTACTGTACAAGTTTAACTTAAAGCAACAATAAAGAGAAAGTGGTTAGGTCTTGAAGTGTATGAATAATATTGTCCTTGATGAGAAACTTGATATTTTTGCAAATGTATGAAATTTATCCTTGCAAACCTTTAAAAGGCTTTAATGTTCTGTCTTTGTCTTCTATGGAGTTGCTTCAAACTGTCATCAACAGAAGGGGGATATACTCTTATTGCATTGTTCTAGTTATATTTTCCATTGTATTTTGGCAGTATGTCAAAGAAATCTGGCAGCTCTTTGCTATGAAATGATTAAATTTTCTGGTTGAATACTATTTTACTTTTGAACATTTATATTGGCTCACTGAACTTGACCCTCTATGAAGCCTATACACATACATGTTCTATTACAAATAGTTATTGGCAATGCCAAAATTTAGTCTTTTAAAAATACTTTGTATCATTAGTTGACTTTAACAAACATCTTGAAGCCTGTTATGTGGCCAGTGTGGTGCTGAGCATAGAGCTTACAAAGAAGTTATAATTTATGCCTGCAAGAGTTTGTGATCTTAGTGGCAAGGAGGACAGAATTGGGAAAATAAAATCATTGAAAGTGTGAATCATGAATGAATGTGTGAGACAGAAAGAACATGGTTCTAAGTGGGGAGTTATTATTTCTGTTCAGTTGTGGGTGGTGGGTAAGGTCAGACATGACTTTTATAGAGCTGAGTAGGTTTTGAGTCATGAGTAAGACCCCAATATACATGGACACAGGGTAAAAAGAGTAAATCTGGGATGGAGGGCACAGGCATGAATGGATACCATGACCTGCAAGTTCTTCTGGTCATCTCTTATCAGGGACTACAATTGAGATCACTCCAGGTGATGAAAAGGGCATGTCTTAATGGGTGGAGTTGAGACCAGAGCATAGAATGACTCATCACATGGGCATTGCAGTTATTCAGTTGGGAGGGTACAGAACAAGGAGAATCTTGGGTTGGTGAGCTTTCCTTTAAAATGAAGTTGAAGCAATAATTAAAGAAGAGGCTCTGTGTTTGTATGAACCAATTGTCTCAATGTCATCTTGGCAGGGAAAGATTTGGAGTGAAGCACTAGCCAAGCAAGTAAGGATGGGAACCAACATTTGAGAAGGAAATTGAACTAGGAACCTGTTTCTTGTTTCATGTCAATTAACATTTATTGAGAATGTATTGTGTGCAGTGTTCTGTGCTTGCTCTTGGGAAATAAGGACTGTTAAGGTATGAAAGGAGCCATTGGGTATCTATTAGTGTTGGCCAGTCTTCCCCAAAGTGTAAAGTATATAAACTTGCACAGTAAGAGACAATTGGCTCTTGTCTGTTATGGTCTTCACACATGATTCCAAGCCTGACAGGAGCAGCCCTTTCATATTTCCCAGAGTGACCTTTACATCTAGGTCTTAATGAAGAGTTACCATTCCATCAGCTGAATGAAAGTCACCCCACTTATTAAAAAATTTTTTTCCCCATCATTCACTACTGTCCTCTAATTACAGTATCAAACTGCTACATGCAACTATTTATTGTGTGTTCGAACAACATCTAATGATGTTGGAAATGCTCATGGTTTCAAAGTAAAAAATATCTTCAAAATTATGTTTTAGCAAATCTCAGTATTATGAATGTGTGAGTGTATGTGTTTATAAAAGAGAGAGCGAGAGGGCAAGAGAGAGATCAAAATGCTAAAAGTGTTTCTTGGTCATGAGATCAGAAAGATGTTTATTCTCTGCATCCTCCAAATTTTCTAAAATGCACATGTATTATATAAATAATTTATAATCACAGTTGTTAAAAATTCTTAATTTTTTCTCTAGAATTTCATATGACTCTTTTTAATTTTACATCATCTTTATAGCAAATACCAAAATCCCAGTGGACTTGCTTCTATCAAAAAGTTTAACTTTCTACTGTCTTCTCTTTGTGTCCCTGTTTATTCCTTTGAATTCCTTTCTGACATTGGTTTCTTGACCTTCCTGACCTTTGCTGTTGCTGAAAGTATCCATTTACACACCTCAGTCCATTGGTGAGCAATATCCATGTCCTTCTCTATCTCCCTTCTCCTTTCTCCGTGATCATACACTTAGATCTGTGAATACACAATGTTAAATTTTGTTGATTTGTCTCTGCGCTGTTTATAGCCTTCTGACTGCCATTTTTACACTCCAGTGCCCTTACAGTTTTCTTTTATGTGTTCTTTTCTGGTGAAATATTTATTCTGAAACACATCTGCAAGCCATACACAACTCCACTTAGGTACAGTGAAACAGTTTACTGAATGTGTGCATTAAGAATACGGTCTTACTGTACAAAGAGTTTTCTCTTTGTAGTCTCTATGAAACTAAATGCAAGATTTGGATGTGGAAATATGGTCCAGAAGGTCTTGTACATAAGTTATGATGCAAGGCCACAGAGTCCAGCATCTTTCTCTGGAGGTTGATTCCAGGAACATGACGTTGGCTGAGCAGAATTGTTCCCTAAGGTAATTCAAAGGTAGACATGAATGTCAAATATACCCTTCCTCTCTCATTTTCCTTTTTTGAACCATTTTAGATGGTAATATTCAATCACTTGCATAACCCTTTTTGAAATTAGTTTATTCTGCATCTGTACATCTCAAAGTTATGAACTCCATATGTGAATCTAGTGGAATTTATTTTTATTGTTTCTACCATTACTCTTGAGTTCCAGGTTCCAGAATTTGATGGGGAAATAACTATTAATTTACCCTGTGCCCACCGACTCCAATTTTGTAGACCGGGATTTTTCCCTTTCACTTTTTGTCCTTTTGAACAGAGTCATTATCAGCTGTTTTCCAAGTTGACTTCTCCTCCCCCTCACCATCTTTAGCTCTGGATTGCTTATCGAGTGCATGACCAAAACTGTGCGTTTATGACTTCTGTGAGAGCATCACCACATCCCCTGTTTCATATTCTATATTCTTTCATTTGCTATCACTGAACTCTTGGCTGCAATTTCATTTTGGATCCATGTCCTCAGTTGTAAGATATGACCGAGTCAGTACATAATCCTGGGACATGCTTCGTCCTGGGGGAATCATTCAGTGTAGAGATAATTCAAAATATTGATAGTTCCCAATGCTGACATCATCATCTGGTAGAGATTTTTTAAAAACATATTCTCTATATGTGGGTGCATTTTCAATTTTATATATACCTAGAGGATGATTTAACTGAGAATACTCTGGTGACTAAAAAATTACTGTGTATTACTTAAGTATATCAGAGCTGATGGCAGAAACAAATCATTAGGTAAAAAGACTTTGCTGGACCATGGGAAAAGCCAGTCTGGGATTAAATAATTGTTACATATAATCCTGAAAATGAATTAATCCATGTGAATTCATCTAGTATGTATAATCAGCTTTGAGGGGAGTCCTGTGGTCCCTATTTTTTTTTTAAAGGAGAGTAGAAAAGCTAACATCCAGTCAAGTGACAAACACAGTAATTAAAATGGAAAATGGTTCTCTAGGACTGACGAAAGGGGCTTGAGGGTTGCTGTATTTTTTCCTTCCCACCCTCCCTGTCTTGCTGTATATCTAAGCTTCCATAGCATGCTGCAACAACCCTTATCTTCTATAGCCCTAGCTCAGGGTACCTCAGGAGGTATGTTTATATCACTGTCCACTCTCTACTCATTGGTCTGTTAGCAGCTTGAGGGAACAGCCTATATCTCATGCATATCTGAGGCCATTGTATTGTGCCTTACATATAATTGATCCTTAGGGAATATAAACATCTGTGTTACATTGAATTAACAGCGACTTCATACCCTTTACCACATACAGTACTATGTGTGTGAAATGTGTCGAACGGTTGTGCTCTGGGATACAACCTCTAGTAGAGACTTAGAGGTGGATTTAAGACAAAAGATACAAGCACATTTTCTAGGCAGTAAGGTAATCAAATACTGTAATAGATTACCAGGGAAGGAGGTGCGATCTCCATCCCTGGAGATCCTTAAAAATTGGACAGAGAAAACATCTGTGAGAATAACTGAATCATTAAACGTGGCTGGAGGCAAGTAGGTGGACACAATGACAAATGGTTCTGTGGGTCTTTGATTACTTGGCCTGAAGAAGAGGAGACCAAGGGGAGACGTTAGGATGACTTCAGATATGGAAAACAGTTATTATTGCCTTCTATAGGAAAAGAAGTCCAGGGAGCATCACTGAAAGTCATAGAGATTTAGATTCCATTTTATAGTTAAGGATTTTAAGATGTAGGTTGGAAAATCCCGTGGAAATCTGCAGAATAAATGATTGGTTTGTGAGATGTGGAGTCAGCTTTATGATTCTGTTTGCAGTAAAACATTTTTTATGTTACACTGAATAGAGAGAATTATTCCAATATATTATATTCAATGTATAACGTTCTCTTGGGAAAGTAGTATTTTAAAGCACCAAATAATACTCAGGGCTGTGCGATTACATCAGGAACCAAAGGATGACTCTGGGACACAGCTCTTCTGAATGGGTCAGCCTTGTTTTCCCAACTGAACCTTCTCCCCTGAAAATGTAGAACTGGAGAGAGAGGGCTACAAAAATCCCACCCATACAAAGAAAACCAAAACACCATATTAAAAAAAAAACAAAAAAACCAACCAAACAAAAAAAACCAACATAGGTATTTGTAATTCCAACATCCAGCCACACGATGTCACAATTGGATTTTGATTTTCATTCTGTGTTTGTCTCAAATAACAGATGAGGGCATTTTCAAAGCTGGAGCAGAGCGATCTGAAACGAGGGGGGCAGCAGAAATCCAAGAAGATGAAGATACTCAAGTTGAGATTCCAGTTGATCAGGTAATCTCCCTGCCGCTAAAGAACTGTGCATACCAGTTAGTACTGTTTTCTTTTTGTGTTTTCTATTACCTGCTCCAACCTGTCCTTGTGAATTTGATGGTTAACCTCTCTCAGGTGCTCTGTTACTAAACGATCTTCACAACACAACAAAACAAAACAAAACAACCTTCAGTTCTTCCTAGTATTATTACAAAGTATAATCATTTGGATTGAGTCTTTTTTATGATTATTATGGGAAACAATATGTCTTTTAATCAACAGCCCCGAAGGGTAAAGTTAAATTGGAGTTAGATGGGCCATATCAAAGAGGGCAAGAAAGGTCACCGAAAACAATATCTGGGAGGTGGAGGGAAAATCTTCCATTTAAAAAAAAGGGTTTTTCCCCCTTAACGCCAACATATTCTTTTCTTTAGGGACCTGAAATTGTTGTGGTTGGAATTTGTTTTTCACAAAGGAATTGCTGATATAAATGCAACTCCAATATTTGCTATGTGCATATTGATTTTCTTTCGCAGGCCAGAGGAACTCTGGATTTTTAAGAGGCTGTGTTTGTGTGTTTGGGGGTGGGAGGGGTGAGTGGTGTGCACATACATATGTGCTTATGGAAGGGAATAGCAGTGTTAATTCTGGTTAAATGATGCAAGAAATAAAAGCCAGCTAAGCTTTTTAATACAAATCAACCAGGTTTCTTACAGTTCTAAGTGGAGGATTGGAATTTAAGTGAGGAGGGGAAATCATAATCCCAGGCTCATGGGAATTAGAAGTGACTAGGAATTGTCGCTTGTCCTCCGACTGTGATGTGATATTTCCTTTGCAAAAAGCAAATTTCACAACCCAGCAAATTCCATAGATGATCTTCTCAATCGTATTTGTCTTAACAGCATGGTAGGGAAATTGCTGCCTGATTATTCCACAGGCGTTTTCTGTAAGCATAGCCTTCCTGATGAAAAGCCTAATGTGTTAAAAATCACACAGATTTTAAAAATCCAATTTATTACCCAGGATTAGCTACAACTAATAATTTTTCATAAACTCCAGTTATAGGTATTCTTTTTTTTTTCCTGGAGGGAAAATGGAATTTTAAAGTCTTGTGAAGCTGTAATTAAATAGTATATTTCAAGACAAAGAAGAGTAATCATCTTGTGTGTATAATACCTAATAGCTGCTGAAACCAAGACTCATTTACATTCCAAAGTCAAAATGCCAAGTACCAAGAGGAAAACCTAGTGATATTACCAGAAGAGAAATCTCTTTGTTAATCACTTAACAAGTTACAGGATCTGTGATGGGTATTTCTTTCCTGGTAACTTTGAAGATCACAAGGAAGGGGGACGGGTTGGGGCAACTGTTGTCTGATGAAAGGCGGTGGAGAAGTGTCTGCAGTGCTTATTTTTTATTTGACTGGAGAGTGCTAGCTTATTAAAGTACAAGTATGCAAGAGAGACCAATTAGACAGATTGGCAAGAGCTGGGCAAGTTCCACAAATTGATACTAGTTTGAAGGAAATAAAAACAACAGATCAGACTTATTTTCTTCTTATTGGCCCCGTCATTAACAGAGTCGAGCTGGTCTCTAGCTCAGGTGGTTGGCACAAGATTCTTAGGGAGTCAGGTCATAGAGTCATAGAGTTATCCTTGGCCTGGTGACCTTTTGCTTCATCTCCTAAACAGTTATGTTATAGATATCCTGAGAAACCAAGGGAGAGTGTGGAGAGACTCGTATAAATCTCCTGAGTGTAAGCACGGCTCCCAGGATGTGCCCTCAAGGTGCAGTTCATGAAACAATAGCTACTGTTTATGAGCTACTGAGTGCCAGCTACTGTACTAAGTAGTTTCATCTCATAATTGATGGCAAAGCTAGGTATTATCTTCATGGATTTATATGCATAAAGTTAACTGACCAAGTGGAATTATTTGCCTAAGATTGTACCATGAAGGAGACAAGATGGAATTTATATGCAGGTCTGTGTAACTTCAAAGCACAGGCGTGAACTCAGGGACAAGTATTAAGTGATTAAAAAAAAAGGGGGGGGGTGTTGAAAATTAACGCAAAAAGGGGGAGAAATTCCAGCATAAGAAAGGAAATGTAGTGATCATGTATTACTTGGCTTAGTTACAACGATAGTTTTGACCCCAACCTAGTAAATGTCTTTGGACTAGTTTTCTATTATCTAAATGACTCATTTCATAATTTTAGTAAAGGGTCACAATGAAGGAAGTGTGTGTATAAATATCCTGTGTACTTGGCCACATACTTTATCCATGCCTGAAAAGTAGATCAAACTTTATAAGTAAATATCTATCTAGGCTTCTCTTGGGAGATAATTCTCCACATTCTCTTGTGTCTCTGTGTAATACTATCATACTTTGAAAAAAACATTGTTGATAAAGTCCATCTATGAATTCAGTAATGTTTTTCAATGAATAGATCCACAAACATGTGAAAATAGTTGTACTTTGGTAAGGCATTGGTAGGTAGGCTAGAAAAATTGCCAGAGGACTGGTAATACCTCTAGAGCCCTCTAGGAGGCAGTGACTCATAGGTTGAAATCCATGACTGGCTAAAGTAGGTCTTTGCTATCTTTATAGCAAGACTCATTTTGAGATTCTGTTCCCCACCTCTGCAACTTTGTTCTTGCTGTGTCCTTCACATGGAATACCATTTCAAATCCACCTCAAGCTCTAGGTATACAAAGTCAATCCATCTTTAAAGGCAACCCAATGTCAACTCTTTTGAAGCTTTTCCTGATTTCATGTAACTGAAAAGACATCTCATTCTCCTTGCTGAGTTCTCATATGGTTTTTATGTGTATGGCCTTTATTTATAGCTATGGCTACTCACATTGGAAATTTATTAAGCCAACACCATTGAGGGAGACAGAGGTACAGAGACACAGAGAGAGATAGAGTGGCGCCACTTATCTTGGTTCTGGACTAAATTTTCAAGGATCTTTGAAAGAGACAGTGGCTTCCTCTAGAACAGATATTCTCATTAGGATGTGATGATTTGGCCGCTAAGGAGGTACTTGGCAATTTCTGAGACATTCTTGGTTGTCCTACTGGGGAAGTGCAACTGGCATCTACTGTGTAATGATGAGAGCTGCTGCTAAATATCTTGCACTGAGCATGACAGGCCTCAAAAAATTACCCAGTCCAAAATGACAATGGTACTGGGCTAGAGATACTTCACAGTTGGAGCCAAGGCCAGCCTTCTTACAGTTCAGTCTGTGAAAGATCATGTCTCCCTATGTTTAAAGGTCAGACAGATTTACTACACTGTGTAAAAGATTTGTGCCATTGCTGTAGCTACTTAACACTAGTTAAAATGACAAATTTTATGTTATGTACATTTTACAACAATAAGAATATTTGCAAAAATAAAATTTGGGTTTTCTAGAACATAGGGTTCTTCCCCTGAGATGCAGGCCACTGTGTATTAACTATCCCCTTTCACATTGCTCTGTGGGAACAGGGTCTTGGGTAGTAGGATGTGCACATACCAGTCCCCTGACTACTGTTGCTGTGAGCAATAAAGACCTTTGCTCTGAATCAGCTTCTCTTGTCTTCTGCTACCATCCAGGAAACCCTGGCAGGTTGGTGTATTAGTCCATAGAGGTAGTTTCTAGCATGTATGCTTGTGTGTGTGTGTGTGTATGAGTGTATGTGTTATGGGGCATTGTGGATCACCCCAAAATCAGTCTGCACTTGTCCCAAAAGTTGAGTCTTTTAATTAAAGACATTTTTAGCAATCCTGGATTATTAACTTCCAAATCTATGGGAAACTGAATACTGTCCCATTCTTTCTTTTATGTATTAGGGGTAGGCTAGCACAAATATCTTTTCTTAGAGGAGAATTTGGATCTACTAAGAATAAGTTACTCTTAAAAACTATTTTTTTTATATGCACATTGCTTGTTAATTGGTTGCTCACAAACAGTGGGGAAATGCCTGATGCTGGGTGTGGTTAGACATTTGCACCTCTCCCCATTCTTTTGAGAGCAGGACTAATATCAGACAGATCAGTACAGGAAAAAGACCAATTTTGATAGCGTATATGTGGAGAACTTACAAGGCTGTAAATTCTAGACTTAATGGGACAAGCCAGGGGTTTATATCCTGTGCTAAGGGATCAGGAAAGAGGAAAAGATGATTTCATATGACAAAACCATGCCTATGTTTGTCCTCACTTAAAGTAGGTTTCTATAATGAAAAAGTTTATTTCTAGAGATATCCCCAAGTCAAGGAAAAAATTTTTTTTAATTTAATTTTTTCCCCAAGGCTCATAGTGTCTCAATGGACCTTACTGCTACATGCTAAGATAACATGTAAAGGGAGACGCCTACTCTGGAAATCATGGGAAAAGTCGGTCTGATCTTGGGGGGGACTGATCCTACACTGATTAATCAATACGTGTGATTCTACACTGGGACTGATGACTTGCGTCAGGAGGCTCCATTTATAAAATGATGCTTTTCCAAGCTAACCAGGGAAGAAATTGGAGCGCTCCATTGGAGTTACATCAACTTGTCCTGCTAAGCAAGGCTCAGCCCAAAGAACTCACTATCTCAGAAATACAAATTATTTTTTTGTATTAATCTTATTTTTACTTTTTATAAATGTATCACATCATTCTTCATAGATGTCCAATGTATGATTTTCCAGTGAGGTTTCCACCACCAATTCCCCCATGCACCATCACATAGTCCTTTATACTCTTCACACCCCATCCTGGCCCTTCTCCCTGTTCGCCTTCAGAATGTTTCTGATAGATAGTTCAGGCAAATAAATTCTGATACAGCCAGCAAATACATTTTGTATTTTGTCCCACTTGACAGAAGAGAACAGAAGAGAGAGACAGTGGCTTTAGAGTGGTTTTAGATTCTTTTATGCTTCCCCATTAGTTTTGTAGTTGATTTTTAGTAAAATGATGAGAATTGCTAATGCTTTTATGCTAAATAGTTGTAGTAAATGGCATGGTAGTCAGCATCATAAATCCCTGAG